ATAAAATTAAAGAAGGACGTACATGAGATGTGGATTACGAGAGAAGATTCTATTGGATTCTCAACAAAGACACATAGTGATTTTGCACGGCACTTGCTTCTGAATTTTTGCGAAGACGAGCCTTTGCAATCAATGGAATCTCCAGGCGATGGTAAATACTACATATTTGTTATTTAATAATGCAATTAATTTCTTTATATTTTAAAATGATTTATCTACATCCTATATGATCATATATTTTGTATATTACACTTCAGATCGACCCTTGCTATATGTTCTGTCTTCAACACCTGTTGGTAAAGGCAAACCTGATCGAAATTTGTGTTTGTCACCCATTGTCCATGAGACTGACAATGACATGTGAGTGTTGAAAATAATAGAACGTAAGAAATACGGTGGATATTATCCTTTAAATGCTTTAATAGTAGTGCCTTGTTGCTGAACATGATGTCACATTATTAATGTGTTCTTCCTTGACCTCGAATAACAGAATAAGCCAATAAGGGGCTGTTTATATCGAAGCCAGGCTGATCGGCCAGGTAAGCAGGATAAATGTCTCTTCTGTTTTCCCAGGAAAATTTTTTTTGACAGTTAAAAATAGCTTGCAGCGGCATCTTTGAACTGTCATCCCTGCAACCGGGCCAGCTTGTTTGTTCGTGTTTAGATAGAGAAATCTTTATTCTGGCAAGTGACATCTCACCTCTTTCAAATGGTAATTTTTACTATAAAAATAACTGCACAGTGAGATCTCACCACAGTATAGGGAGACGACCAGTAGCGCTACTTAGGAAAGAAAAGTGGGAATTATTTAAGCTAGGTCCCAGGTGTCTTACACAGCCAAAATCATTATTCTGTAATACAATTTTATAGTGAACTGCTGCCGTTGGCTGCTAATATGTAAATTAGGTTGGCAGCCAGTAAACAATGTGGACACTTTTTTACGCTGAGTGGCCCTACTGTAGTTTTCCTATACTGCGATCTCGTTTACCAGGCTGTCTCCTGACTAAGAAGGCCAACCCGGTTCCATACAAAGTCTTGAGTTATATAGCAACTGGTATATTGTATCTTATCTATTTTGTTCTTTATTATCGTTTGGCTCATTTTGGCTATTTCACATAGTTGGACGTGCTCCTGTCATGAGAGCTACTACTAAAATGAAACCAGGTTTACTGGAAATCAGGGTTAGTGTAATTTACTTTCCCAAACAGAGCCATGGATGTTGCACCTATATCTGCTAGTCTTGATGTGAGCAGAATTGAGAGTCTTTCCATATCTGTCAATCCTGAATTTGGATTATACCATGAAGACCCTTCATTCGAGAGTGATAGCACAAGTTCGGAATCAGATCATGATACAAGGTAATTATTACTTGCATAGTTGTATTCACAATTTAGTTAATAAGTAGCAGCATCTTTTGAGTTTTGATGGCAAATCAAATAGTATGCAATGAGTCATCTGATAAAAAAATCCACACTTCCCAACACTTTCCCATTCCCCCTTTGGGATGTTCTAGTACATTTTATTAACCAAAAAGGATTCCTCATTTCCTATCATCCTCTACTGGATTCTAAAAATTTTCTTTTACCTTTTCCCAAATATTTATTCACTTTTACATGTAAAGCTTTTATTAATAGTTCCTGTGATTCAAGTGAATATGATAGTGGATCTGAAGATGGCCAGTGTATTTATGATGTTCAAGGGTAAGAGAGAACTATCAGATCACTTGTAACATCTTCACTGAAATCCACTTCCTAGTTTCTACTGTACTGATTGTGAACATGACCTTCATTTCCCATATTTATAGTAACAATGAACACCTCTCCATTTGGTATTATGTACAGTACTCTTATAAACCTTTTGTTTGTTTGATGTTCAATATTGTCTGTTTCATAGATTTGCAGAAGAGTATGATCCTGAAGCAACACTAAGTGCCATAGAAGATGAAGAGTGTGATCCTGAAGCAACATTAAGTTCAACGGAAGATGACATGCTTGACACAACTCTTAATATTACAAGAGGAGAAGAAGATATGGATGTTAGTAGTTTAGAAGATGATAACGACAAGCCTCAAAAAGCTGAATCACTTCAAGAAAGAAATGAAAGGCTGGCAGAAGAAATGCAGAATGCATTTAATGTTCTGGCTGGTTTAGGTAACCATAACAAAATGTGCAGTGAGCATTTTCGGAGAGATCGTGTTGTCGTTGATGTGCCTTTGTTATTGAAAGTATTTAATAAGGTGGTCATTCACCTTTAAACCTTTTTTTTTCAATTTATGCCATATTAATGTGAAAGTATCATTTTTAGAAAGAGTTTGGTGATAGAAAATGACTTATGCAAAAAAATTTTCACAAAGTCACTAATTAGACTAATGGCGGCCGCTAATTAGCCCATAAATGCTCAACGTTTGAAACATGATATCACATGAACCAATTACTCAAATTTAATGAATGATATATTTTTAGAAAGCTTAGAACCTAATCTAGTGCCTTCCTTTCTTTATTTTCACCTTAAAGTTGTTTTTTTCAAAATGTTGATATTAAATGTGAATATTAAGGGAAAATTCAATTTTTCGACAGCAATTTAGGTAATTAAATATCACATTTTTGTTAATAATGAAACATATTGAGATTTGAAGAAAGGAAGGCACTAGCTAAAGGCATTAGCCAATATCATGCCAAGTTTCAACTATTTACAGGAAATATTGAAGACGATATGATGCAACAAAGATTTCTCGAAACAGCAAGGTTTCGTTCTGTTTTTTTTTCTTCAGAAATGTTCAGAAGGCCCCTGCTTCATAAGTAGTACCTTCATTGTCTTGCACATCATCAATATAATGTTTTCTCAGATGTCTCAATGTTTTCCTTCTGCTTTTCACCTTCTCCGTTACTTTCTTGGCCGACAGTTTGATCCTCGCTGTGTCACTATCGTGTGCACCCTTGCTGGTGAATATCCCAGGAGTGATATCCAAATCACTCAGAATCTTCAAAAAGGAAATGTCCCCATCATTGAACCTTAGGACAGCAAGATAAGTGGCAAGAGCAACAGTCTCCTGCTCCACATACGTGGATTTAGGACATCTGTCCCAAATAAGTCCGTTCAAACATTCATTGACATTCTGTGTCATGCCGTGAGTGCACTTACTTAATAAGTCAGTCTTACTTAGATCATCAAATATGGGTTTGATTACATTCATAATACATGGTGGAATACCATTCTTGTGTTTATAATTATCCTTATCCCTATTATAGCCACACCAACTGTCCTCTCCATCAGGACAGAGGTGATGTTGTGGATTCTCGTCTGTCGATGCAACATGGTACAGTGATGCTTCTATGGCCGTAGCCATTTCACCAACATCACTGAGGTTTTCTCTCACTGCCAGGCCATAATAGTTCTGAAGAACATCTATTTTGCTATCAGTGAGCCTACCTTTGCCAGCCAAGCCTTTTCCATCTGCCAATTTTACACCTTTACTTTGATTTTTTAATTTCCGCAACTGACTACCGACCCTTTTCTGGACATGTCCAATGCATTCCATTTTATTTGGTATGCATTCATCTCCATATGGCTTGCTTTCAACAATTTTGTTGTAAGTTGAGGAATCCCCATCACCAAGCATGTTCTTATACTTGAGTCCTCTTGTTTGAAACGACCGTTTGAAGATTCGTAAAGCACCAACTGTCTCCATGCTGTTTGCACTTCCTACATGGTTAATTTTGCAGTTGTGTGTAGCTTTCCATTCTTCGTGTCTTGGATCACTTTCCTTCTTTTTCCACTTTTGACATTGTGTGCACTTGTCTGACATCACTTCAACATCAAGACATTTCTTCGAATCAAGCGAAATCACTGTCACAATGCCATTGTGTGACGCATGGCCCCTCTTCTGCCATGTACCATCGATTGATACCCCACATTCTCCAGCATCATTGGCATTCTGTTCCCTCACTTCCATAGCATTATTCACCATGCTATCACTAGCCAATTGCTTTACCACAGGTAGGAGCTTTTTATTCTGAATCTTAGTAAAGATGTGACGTGTTGGCGGTTCAGGCATATTCATAACTTTGCTGAAGGTTTTCATGGCACTATGTCCTCTACCAATTTCTCTAAATGCCAGGACTGCTCTTAGGTTTATCTCATGAGAATGTCCCTGCTTTTTTGATGTACTAAAACAGTGTTTCCAGTCACACTCCACAGCTTTACACTCTATCACAATATAATGGGAAAAGCCATGCTTCTTCTTCAGGTCAACATGTGAATCTATATCACCTTACAGTGGTTGCCAATGCTTATCTTGTTCGGAAACAAGTCAAGTGGAAAATATTAAAATGGAAGGTGGTGTTTTGACAATATCATGGAAGTGTTCTGAAGGTCATCTTGGATGTTGGACATCTTCCAAAGTACTGTGTCAGAAAAATGGTCAAAATGTACATACAAATACGTTGTTGATGGCAGCTGGCATTTTCATTTCTGGAAACAATTATGACAAATTGGCCTTATTTTGTCGATTTTTGGGGCTTGGACTAGTATCAAAGGCAACTTATAACAGGATGCAAACACATTTTGTTATTGCTGAGGTTAAGAGTTGTGTGGTGATGGGCGGAATGATTCCCCAGGACATAGTTCAAAGTACTGCATGTATGCTTTGATGGAGCAGCATCTTGATGTTATTGTTGACGTAGAAGTGGTGGACAAATGTCAAACAGGAGGTATCTCAACAAATATGGAAGTCTTTGGTTTGAGGAAAATACTTGAAAGAATGGTTGGTGAAATTGTTGTTTCTGAAATGGTTACAGATGCTTCAGCTGCAGTTATTGCATTGGTTCGAAAGATGAAAGGTAACACATCTCAATATTATGGCATTTTCATTTAGATTTGACAGATATATTAGTGGGTCATTCGGGAAAAGATTTGCAGCCTATAAAGTTCATAATTAATGTTATTGTCAAGAATACTGATTTACAAAACTATTATATATATATTCTTTTTAAATGTTTAGAACCAATGAGTATATTTTTAACAAAATACAAAACAAGTGAAACTCCAAGTTTCACTTGTTTTGTATATTCTCCTTATCATATTACCAAGTGAACAATAACACAACAGCCTGTTTCATCCAAGAGGAATCATCAGAAGCTGCCACCTGATGATTCCTCTTGGCTTCAGGCTGTTGTGGTATAGAACCGAGGTATAAAACTACATATCTACTCTTTTTTTATATGAAGCACTCTATATAGGAGTGTTTTGGTTCACGAAATGCCAAAGAGTGCGCAATATCATAAAGATAAAGCAGATAATGTACTTTTTATCTCAAATAATATATGTATTATTTTTTTTTAATTTGCCAGAGAAGCATCCCAAAGAGTTTGGCGATCTTTTTCATGCACTAGATGTCTGGCACAAATCTATCAAACTATCAAAGAAACTTGCCAAGGTATTTGATTTCTACCTTTGTGTGTTGTATGTCTGTGAATATGTTTAAATATACATACAAAAGTTGATAAATGGAAAATAATATTTTCCCACATTACTGTCATAGGCAGCTAAAGTGAAGAACTGTGAAGCAGTTGCTGAATGGTCTGAGGCAATACGAAACCACTTCTGGTTTGTCTGTCAGAATTGTGATGGTGATGAAGAAAAACTTAAGGTAATCCTAACAGAATCTTTATTGTTTACTAATAACAAGTTTCATAATTTGGTTCTAGTCTAAAAATGACTTAAAGTCATGCTGTACACTTTCATAATAAAATTTACCAACTCAAAGGGATTTTTGTCACAGAGGAGGTATTATGGAAGTCACCGAACTGTGGAATTGCATATAAAATTCATATATTGGCCACTCCCACAAACGTATACGACCGCACCTACATATTTTTGCATGTTTACAATTCTAATTTTAAACAGCCAATCGATATTTAACCGTAATTGTTACCAAGAACCGGATTGGCTGTTCCAAATTAGAATTGTAAACATGCAAAAATGTGTAGGTGCGAAATACCTGCAACAAAACCATGCTTTTACAATTACATGGTATATCTCGAATATGATTCAGTTAAAAGTGAATGTACTAGATGTTGAACTATCAACTGTATTTTTTCAGGACAGCTGGTTTGGGGTATTGCACCACATTGCTGGTGAGCATGAGTGGGCAGATGGAGAATGTACTCATGGACCGTTGGTGGCCACAGAAGTAGGAAAGACCTGTTTGGACAAAAACTCCAAAGCATTCGAGGAAATTCGGAAGGTGGTACTTGACCAAAGATTTTTGAAGATTTTCATCAGTATGTCACATTTAGGTATGTGCAGGTTACTATAAAATAAATAGTGATGCCCAATTGGTTCTACATGTCTTCAAATGTTGTAGTTAATTTTGGTAATGTGACTAGATGTTTACAATTACAGTACATACACACAAGATCCCAATGATAGGGGGCAGAGGCAGTCTGGCCCCTGCATGGGAACGTTTCTGCAACACAGCCTGAGAATTCTGCAATAGCTTTTTAATTTGGCCAGACTGTGTGAGCTATTAGTATTTGTACCTGGCATTCCCTTAACAGTCTGAAGTACAAAGGTCTAACAATTGTTTAAATGATTGGTGTTTCAACTTTAAATCCATGTAGGCACACCAGCAAACTGGAGAATTTTAATTCTATGCTCTTAAAGTATGCACCTAAAAGAGTGGGGTACCAGTAAGTGTGTTTTCAATTCTATGTTGTAGTCATGTTATATATGGAATTGTATTTGCTACACCAATAATAACCCTATACACTTTTTAGGAATGATGCTTTTATAGGTAGAACATATTTGGCTGCTATTGACCACAACTCTCATGCATTTCGAAAACCAGCATTTACGGCCAATGGTAAACAAAAAGTGAGCAAGGTATTCAGTAAGAGATCTAAGAATTGGAGAATTACAACTGTGAAAGAACCAAAGACGTATGATTTCTGGCCCACTATTGCGACAAGAATATTGAAAAAGAGAGTTGACGATGAGGAAACCATTCTACGCAAAGTTGAAGTGCCCAAGGAACATCCGAAGAATATTGCCCCATCGATTGCACTGAAGCCAATACCCAAGACAAGTGACCTAGTGGCGCAATCTTTATCAAGGTTTGTCTCTCGCACTGCTGGCAGTAGCCATGATCACACGCAAGGAGCTAATGAAACACAGCCACAACCAACTTGTGACACTGAAACAACCTAACTCTGTGATAATGGTGTGTCTATAGACCCATTGCACTGTTGTCACAAATCCTTACAGTGTCCTCCAGATGCTTCTTAACAATATCTGTTCGGGTACAAAAATTAACCATTTTAATACAAAATTATTATAAACTTTTACAAAATTTGCTTTGTTTACAAAAGTTATATTATTCATAGATTGCTAATTTGTCCTCCGGGTGCGTCGTCACCGGTGCTGTGACGTCATGTGCAATGGGTCTATAGACACTATATATAGTGTATATGAACAATCTTTTGTTGGTAGGGATGCAATAACCTGAAAAATATAAGGCAAATTTCGACGTTTCGAGCGAAGGCCCTTCGTCTGGATTTACTAGCGGGGGTCGGGAAAATGATGCTTTATGGATAGACCTTGATGGGTCTATGACATGAGCTTTTATGCTAAGAATATAAAAGCGATCACATGACAAAAAATAAACCAATCAGATGGATTTCGTTAAAACAAAGTATAAACAAAAAATTTAAATCACATTACAGAATATATTTATAGACTTATACAGAAAACTACACCAAAATATATCAAACAAGTATGGAATATTGGTTGTTTGTAAAATTGTTACCAGAGAAGTACCAGGTGGGAAACGAATTCTGATAATAAATATTAATGCCCAGCAAAGTGCTTTTAAAAGAGCCATAAACCATTAAATTTAAAAATTTTATTAAAGATTTAGTAACGTTTAGTAACATTTAAAAGTAATGTTTCGTCTTAACTCAAGACATCTTCAGACTATATTAAATTACAAGCTGTAAGAGTAATTAAGCATAAAGTAAAGCTATCATAGCAATATTAAATTACAATTGCTATGATAGCTTTACAATTGCTATGATAGCTTTACTTTATGCTTAATTACTCTTACAGCTTGTAATTTAATATAGTCTGAAGATGTCTTGAGTTAAGACGAAACATTACTTTTAAATTTTTAAATTTAATGGTTTATGGCTCTTTTAAAAGCACTTTGCTGGGCAATTAATATTTACTATCAGAAGTTGTTTGTAAATATAGAATAGGAGGGTAACATTGAACTTTTAAGGAGGGGGGGAGGCGTGTTTTTGATAAAGCACAAAATTTGGTAAATGCGAAATATAGTAATTAATCTAATCAATGTATGTGTGTTTCTTTGGGTTTGGGTTTGCTAGAATGGGGTTTACAGTAATACATTTCCCCTGAACAGGGGCCTATTAGAGAGGGGACATAATTCAAAAGGCAGCAAAATGCAGGACTTGCAAAAAATTATTGCAAATATTAAAAAAGCTTTATAACAATATCATTATAAAAATCATTTTAGTTGTAAATTTTGGATACATAATGCAGAGATAATCATAGATAATGTAAAGTTCATCATGCTCTCTTAAATCCCATGTAGACACCGTCATTCGCCGGGTATAGGTGTCGTATTGCCAGCACAACACATGATGGGCACACCTTTCGGTTCCTTCCTAATTTCTTATACCGCCATAAAATGTACTGGCGATATGCAGCCTTTCTAAAGCTGTTTGTTGAATAGTCTGGCTCCTCTGCTCTTATATCGCACCTCGCTCGGATAGCCATGACCAATACATCCCGGTCTGTGCATGTGTTCTGGAATGTCACAAATGATGTGACACATGTGATTTTTTTGCAACACTTGTTTTCCTCCTCAGTTGGCATTGGTTGACATACCCCACATGTACACCATGGTGGCCTTGTCCCTGGAAGAATTGGGGGGGGGGGGGGTTTCCTCCAAATTGCACCAGATTTTTGGCATAATCAAGGCTACCTTTACCATTTGACAGAAGTTCAAGCAATACCTTATCCTTTTTGCCAACTGTTTCGCTTCCTCTACCGCGATCTGATGACGCTCAAAAGCATTTCTTCCCGCATTTGTAGCTGCTACTGTTCCCACTTGAAGCTTATTTTTACAACATGCCTTCTTCGTTCCACATGAGCAGCCATCCGCACATTTGAGCTCCTCGTCTCGGCATCCCTGTTGCTTTCTACCGCTGCGTTTGCTACACATATTTTTGCAACTACAAAACTAAAATGAAACGAACTTGATCAATAAATAATATACGGAGCATTTATTCTATCAAACTATTTATCATAAATCAAACAACGAGGAAACTAAGGGTATTTATACTCACTTGCGTTCTACCCTGTTCAACTTGTGTTGAACTAGACTCACCAACAGCTGCTTCTTGCGCCATGTATGTCGGTGATCCGTACGCATTTAGATCGTCCTCTACATCGTACTGCGACACATTTAAATCTTGATCTGACTCTGATTCAGACATTTTATAAAAAAATACTAAAATGTAAAAGGACCAAAATTTGTGAAATATTAACGCAAAAGATGCAATATTATGCAAATTGTAAAGGGAATGTGCATGTGACATGGAAATTTCCCGTATGTAAACATAAACAAAAAGCACACAAAGCATTACCCTGAGACTCGTTCTTTAAACCTATTTTTTCCCTGAGGCTCTGGAAAATAGTATTAAAATATGCAATTTTATTTCTTTTTACTATAAAAATAGGAATAAAATAAAGTAAACATTAATAAAATATGGCTCTTTCTTTTGGTGAAACATTGTGATAGAATTAAAACAGGGTTGCCTCTCGATAAAATAGCATAAAAATAGGGGTGATAGTAATATAGTTTTAAAATAGCAATATAATATAGTTATTTTCACAAGGGTAGACCCCTGATGTTAGTATTGATGAATTCATCACCAATACGGAATATTTGATTAGTGAAATTTCCAAAACAAACAAGCCATGTTATATATTAGGGGACTGGAATATTAATTTAATGAACCACTTAAATCATGAATTAACTAGTAAATTCCTAGATATAATGTACACTAATATGTTTTTGCCCTTAACTCATTCTCATCCGGTCGAAATGTAGCAATTGTGAGTGGTGTTGTTTTAAACGCAAATATCTTTCAAACTATACATTGTATGGAAACAGAAACTGCATCGTTCAAAAGAGGAGAACTTCCACTTTCCAACAATACCAGTTTCAATGTCATCACAAGTTCGGTTGATGTAATAAGTTGCATAAATTTGCATACATTATGATATAAAAAATGTTGCAATTATGCAGAAACGTATTTACCGGTTCAAATTTCAATTATGTCAACAATTTTACGAATGTGGCAGAAAGAGACGGTTTTTATCTACAAGTACTAGAAGTGTAATGCATATAGCATAAATAGAAGTATTTTTACTGAATTTTTGAATGAACTATGTAGTAAAGTAAAATTTACATTTTGTGCTCACATGAAACAAATACCCTTCTCAAAGGCATATTATCAAGCATATTATCAATACCTTTCACCACATTTCCAATATTTCTTACTATCCAAGGACAGTAATGCACCAATATAAGTCTGTGATACTGACAAAAGAACACTGAAATCACTATTTGCAAAATGTCTTTATTTCTACAATTACTATATACATGCTTATATAATCTGTACACCATTGAATTAGTTATCAGTGGCATAGCCACTGATAACTAATAATCACTACTCATTTCTTTAGAAATTGATTGTTTCACAGTCTAGAACATGAAAATATTTGCATATAGCATGACCAAGTGTTGTTGGGCTGGTGTTGCCACTGGTAATTATAAGAAAGTAATGTGTGCCAAAGCAGGACTCATCCACACAATTGGATTATGTTATGTGGTGAAAATATTTCCTTTTTTGGCACAAAATATATATTGGACCACAAAAGACCTAAGACTGTGTAACCAAACTTATATCACATCACCATGTCATACCCCAATCCATGCTGAGATGAATCTCTGTACTATAAATAATAAATCTCAAAGTTGCAAGATAACCATTAGAACTGTCTGTAGCAACCTACAGATTTATCCCCCACTTAGTAGGCTTATCTTTCATGAACTGCCTCAATCCCTGGCCTGTTCCTTGATTTGACCAGGCGTTCGTTAACAGCAATATTCTGAGATGGCTGGACAGCTAGTTGTTGATGCAGTTTGTTGTTGGGGTCTTCAGTGTTGGGGTCTTCAGTGACAGGGTCTACCACATTCAGAAATGCCATAAGGCCTTTGTACCTAAATTATTTCTCTTCCCCACAGACCATGATATAGCGCTTTTACACTCCAATAATTTTCAATCTCACTTTCAACCTTTACCAAATCTGCATATACTAAAAAGGCAATCAACCTCTCAATCTCCTCAAAGTTTGTGGATGTCCAAGAACCTTTATTGGTATACGAGGATGATTTTTGGGTTATTTCTATGTGGGCATATGTATTGGTATGGGCAACTACCTCTTGAAGCATTTCCTTAGTGAAAAAGAGCTGAAAGAACTCAAGCTCACAGTTCATACTTCTGGTGAAAGCTTGTTTCTATTTTGTCATTGGACTATGTCACTAAGGAGTCATGTGAGATATGCGCGTGCAGATCGAGTGTTCAATTGCAAGCAATCATCGAGAGTGTTGACATGTTTTATTTTTCGGGAACAAAATATTGACAATATGTAAGTATGCTTTTACGTTTCTGCCTTAACATACACGAGGTGATTGTTTCTAACAAAGTATTTGTAAAGTTTTCTCGCCATGTAGTAGGGGGTTTTTCATCACACAATAGGTGTTATAAGACGAAAAAATGTCAAACGAAATGTGACCTTGCGCACAGCATTAATACAACTGTCAACTACAGGAATATGGTGGGACTTCGCACAGCCTCAATGTAGTGATGCTGGCACATTACTTCATCAAGTACGAACAGTCCATGTTGCCTGTTGGTTGAAATTTATCAACCCTATCTTCTTCTTCAATACCTGGACCAAGGGCTAACTGTCACACTGAAAGATCTCGTGAAAACGGCAAAGTATATAAAGGTCGAAGAAACACTGTTTTCAGACCTGAACATGAGATCTTGCCGAATCCGCACTTGTATAAAAACACATGGACTCGGCGTGTATGCACAGTCAATGACAGCCGAGGCAACATTTGGTACAAGAGGTTGAAGAAATACCGTCCAGTCAGACATGAATATGATATCCTGCCATTCAGCAGTTTATATTAAAAACATGCCAATGACAGTGGAGGCAACAACGGAGTTTAATACATGAAACTTGGCAATGGTCAACATTGTGAAAAATGTTAGATGGGATCTTCGTATGAGTACAATATGAGATCAAGCCATAGACTGACTTAGTCGCCAAAACGGCATATTGCATTGTCAAAATGCCGACTTGGCAGATAATGCACAATTTGGCAGATAATGCACAATTTGGCAATGCCAATGGTCAACCTTGTGGAAGAATTACTAAAATGCCGACTCGGCGGATATTAAATGTACATATACAGCTTAAAATACAGCAGCTATTAATACTAATAATCCACATGATGCATTACTAAAACGCCGCACCCGGTCATAAAATTAGCATTTTTATTAAACTGTTGAACTGGGAAACATATAGAATAATATAATTAAAACGGCAAACTGACAGAGAATGTCAATATTATACAAGCTGCATTGAGCTGTTGAATGGGGAAAACATTTGTGTTACTATCACAAGTTAAATGATTATGTAAACCTTAAAATCGAGGTACAGACTGCAGCTGTACTACACAAACTGTACAGTATGTAAATAGCAAATGCTATACAGATACACACTATCATTACATGCCAAAAATGCCAACATGTCAATAGTAAACAACTTGATAATGTTGTACTAACCTTGGCAGGGACTTGTCCCTCGCCTGCACCTTACCGGGAGAGTCAAGAAAAATTTGTAGCAACATTGCACGGTGATTCTACTTAGTAAAAAAAACAATGTAAAAGCTACCGTTTCCCACATCCAGAATGTGATTTCCGGTGTACATTTCTGGTCACGTGACTTTGCGCTAGCAATAAGCATAAATTCAGCCACCATTTTGTTAATTGATATATATTTTTGTGTTGCATGCATTTCAAACTGTTTTCTACGTAAATTGAAATAAAGAGATATTAATTTTCTAAAAGCTCTTGATGTAGCTTATTTTCGTGTGTTAATTTGCTGCCAAGTAGGACTTGGTTAACAGTAGAAAACAGTTTTAATTCGAGTATTATGAACAAATGTTTACATTCGTCTGGCGATTGGAAATTTGGAATTTGAACAAATTCTCAAGAATAGCTGGTTTTATAGTTTATTTGAGTGAAACCAGCTTGTGAACCAGTGCGTTGGTTACAGATACTTGCTTGGACATTGATGTTTATGATCGATGACTTTAATTTGTGAAGATTATGAGCATGAAATGAATTTATCAATTCATGAAACATTGATATTGTGAATTGTATAATCGGACAGTTTGATTAAAGACGTACAAATGTCTGTATGATCTTGTTTCACGCTTGATGGACAAGAAATTAATCAAGAAATTAGAAGAGAAACTGCATCAGAGGCTGATGGCAGAGAAACTTTAGTGAGACGAAGTTCAAGACTAAAGGTACTGAATAAAGGGAGAAATCTAGAAGAAGATTTCGCTGAGAAAGCAAATGTGTTGTTTAGATCTCGAGCAGGACATATTAGTACTTTAACGAGAATACAAGGTGACATTGAAACAATTATGTGTGCATGTGAGGAGACGAATGAAGTTATGTTGAGAAAGGCAAAGTATGATGATGCTTGGCGAAAATTTGTAAACGCTCATGAACAATATATTGAATATATCATTTCAAAGGAAGAAAAAGAAAAGGCACTTCTGAGTTATGAAAGGCAGAAGATAAGAAAATTGTATTTAGATGAGGAAGTTCAGCAATGGTGCAAAAATCTCGAATTGGAAGCAAGAGAAAATGCAGAAGAAGTGTCAAACTCTGGCAAGAAGCAAAGTGGAACAGCCTGAACAGGTAATCTTTCTGAAATATCTAGTCGGAGTGGAAGGTCAACAGCTATATCAAGAAAGGCGGAGAAGTTGGCTTTAGCAAAGCTGAAAGTTACACAGTTGAAGAAACAACATCAGCTTGAAAGGAAAATGACTGAATTGAAGTTTGAAAAGGAAATTATGGAGGCACAAATGGAAGAAGAGCGTGCAGCGGGTAAGTCTTATTTATGAACCAGATAATGAGGAAGAACAGAATTTAGATCACTATGAAGAAGACAGATTACAACTTAGAGACGGTGCTATGAATAGGTCTGGCTTAAAATCAGTAAATCCTATACAAACTAGTAAAGCTAATAGAGAAACATTTAACTTTCCGAGGGAACTTTATGTATCTAGAGGGTCAAAGATTGAAGAATCCACACCTAGTCAGAAACAAGAGGGTGTTTCGAGATATTATGTGGATCAACCTACTCTGAGGCAATACGGACAAGAACTGCCAGAGTTAAGTCAAAACACTGCATTTACATAAATATGCCGCCCACCAGTGAAAGTGTTAGCTGAAGAAGTTTGGAGTCAGGAAGCACAAACGAACGAACAGTGTCAACCACGAACGATCTCCTGGCCCCAGACATCTCAACCACTGCAGCGAACGACAACAACCTCTTGGCCCCAGACATCTCAACCACCGCAGTGAACGACAACAACCTCTTGGCCCCAGACATCTCAACCACTACAGCGAACAACAATGACCTCTTGGCCCCAACCATCTCAACCACCACAGAGAACAACAACGACCTCTTGGCCTCAACCACCGCAGCAATATATTCATTGTGATGTGGAGTCCTTGCCAAGGATGGTGGAGACAGGAGAAGAAGTAATACAAGCATTGTGTCAAGTAGTTTCGACACCAAAAATTAAATATATGCATTTTGATGGGGACCCAGTGAACTATATGTCATTTATGCATAATTGCGAGACATGTTTGGAGAAAGACAATCCTGATAATTCAAGACGGCTACAACTTCTGATTCAGCACTGTACTGGCAAGGCTTGTGTGGCAGTGGAGAGCTGTGTTAATCTTCCCGAGGAACATGGTTATCAAGCTGCGAAGGAAACCTTATGTGAAAATTTCGGGAAACCTCATATCATAGCCCAAGCTTACATAAATAAGTTGGAAAACTTAGCTCCTTTGAAACAAGTGAACGGTCAAAGCCTACTGGAGTTTGCAAGACATCTTGAAGTTGCTAACAGAACTTTAGCAGGAATGGGATCTGAGTACACTGATGAACTAGATCATGTTAATACATTGAAATTGTTAAATCGAAAGTTGCCTGGATTCATGAGAGTTGAGTGGACAGAACGAGCGGGAGAGATCATCGAACGTGGATCAAGACCAAAGTTTCTTCATTTCCTTCAATTTGTTAAGCGACGAGCTATGCTTGTGAACAATGAATTTGGGGAAGATCTGGTAACTTTTTCGTCAGACAAAGGCGGAAAACCGAAGAACAGAGATTATCAATGAAGATTTGGTCAACGAACTGGATCATCATTCACAGCAAGATATAGCAACAAGAAAAAGGAGCAGGACGATACCCTACCAACTCAGAGGAAATGTCCTATGTGTTCCAGTGAACACAGAATTTGGAGATGTGATAAGTTTCGAAGCTTACGTTATCAGGATAAAAAGAGATTGATTGGTGCAAGCGAGAGTTCTTTGTTTCAAGTGTTTGTGTAATGGCCATCTCGCGAAACAGTGTCCTAAAAGTCAGTTTAAATGTCAAGTACAAGGATCTAATAAGGAACATAATACGTTATTGGATATTTAACTTTGAGCGAATTAGATGTAGTGGAAAGAGAAATTCTCAAACGTGTTCAGCTCACTGCGTTTCCAGCTGTATTCCAGTTATTGTCTAATTCCAATCGTCCAGCAGCCACAATGAAGAAGATACTTTGAAAGGCGGGAACGTCAATTCATCAACTAAGTCCAATTCTGAAAGAAGGTTTATTATGCGTTGGAGGGAGATTGGATTATGCCCAAATAGATGATCATGCGAAACACCCTATTATCCTGCCTTACAAACACCACATAACCGACATGATCATTCGTTACTATCATATAATCGTTGGTCATATGGGTCAAGAATCGGTTCTCTCTTCTCTGTGACAGGAATTTTGGATCATCAAAGGAAGATCTGCTGTTCGACGTGTGATTAAGTATTGTATTGACTGTCAATGAAGAAAGGCTAAATTGTCAGATCAGTATATGGCTAGCTTACCGCAGGATCGAATAACTCAAGACAAGCCAGCGTTCACATATGTTGGTACAGATTATTTTGGACCCCTACAAGTGAAAGTGAAAAGATCATGTTGCAAGCGCTACGGGTGCATCTTCACATGTTTAACAACACGTGCAGTTCACATTGAGATTACACACTCCTTGGATACGGATTCCATGATAAACGCACTCCGCAGGTTTATTTGTATTTGTGGATGCCCAGAACTGCTAAGAAGTGATCGTGGTACAAACTTCGTTTGTGGAAATAAGGAACTAAATCAAGCGATGGAGGATTGGAATCAACATAAGATTAATGAGTTTTGCATCCCAACAAAAGATTGAATGGATTTTCAAAGCTTGGCCAGTCACATGAATAGCGTTATGGAGAGAATGATCAGATCTGTATGACAAATAATGAAGGCTATTTTGAAAGAGCAGATTGTAACTGATGAAGTTATTTTGACAGTGATGGCGGAAGTGACGAACATCTTAAATTCGAGGCCGCTAACACGAAATAGCGACAGTCCTTTGGACGATGAACCCATAACTCCTAATCATTTATTGCATCTACGACCGACTACGGCATTACCCCCAGAGTTGTTTAACAAGGAAGACCTGAACTCCAAACGCGCATGGAGACAAGCACAGTATTTAGCGGGATTGTTCTGGCGAAGATGGACGAAGGAATATCTGCCAATGTTGTTTGAAAGAAAGAAATGGACCGTGCCAAGAAGAAATATGAAAGTTGGTGATTTAGTTTTGTTGGCTGACGAGACTTTCCTGAGGGGACAATGGCCTCTTGGTCTAGTTACAGAAGTTCTAACGAGCCGAGATGGATATGTTCGTACTGTCTGTGTTCATCTGTGGCAACCAAAGCTAAGCGACAACGAAAAGGAGAGTATAAAGTCAGCTCTACCATCTTAACACGTCCTGTTCACAAGTTATGTTTTTTGGAATTGGATTCGGACGACTATAACTAACTTAAAATTTGAACTTGCTTGGATTGATTTTTTTGGTAGCTATTCTTTAAGTAAATAGTATGATGACTATTTAGGGGTCGGTGTAGCTACCGTTTCCCACATCCGGAATGTGATTTCCGGTGTACATTTCTGGTCACGTGACTTTGCTAGCAATAAGCATAAATTCAGCCGCCATTTTGTTAATTGATATATATTTTTGTGTTGCATGCATTTACAAACTGTTTTCTACGTAAATTGAAATAAAGAGATATTAATTTTTTAAAAGCTCTTGATGTACCTTATTTTTGTGTGTTAATTCGCTGCCAAGTAGGACTTGGTAACATTGTCTTTAGTGCCTTTAACATGCAATTGTGACAACAAAATCCAGGGTTTAAAACATGCCGATGCATGTTAGCCTCGTTGGTACAGGTCCTTGTAATCTATTAATATTATTATTGTACAATTCAATTAATATTGTACAATTCAATAGTGGATATACACTGACTAATTCAAACCACAAATCATATCTATGATATATTATATCCTCACTTGTGAGTTGTCAACCTACATCATTATTTAATTCGCCTTGTGCATATTACAGTGGCAGGGAATCCACAACAGCGTTATTGCCAATTACTGCAGGCCCGAGATATGTGCATATGTATACATTATGTTTGCAGCCAATTCGCTTCAATAAACTATAGGCTACAGAGACAATAATGTTTTGTTTGCCAGTGTTGGCATGGTACATTATACCTATAATACTGCTAACTTGAGAAAACTGCCAAATAAGACAGATGTACGTAGGCTCATGCAGGTCACGATTATAGAAATATGCAGATCGGGAAATATCGCTGGTTAAAAAGCAATTGCAATCATAGCGACTGTTTCATCAATTTAAATGAGGCACACAATATCATAAACAGTATCGTAATAAGGTTTCGAACCTACGAACAAAATATGAATTTACATAAATAATTACCCCTAATCCCACATTACAACAGGCCAAATGAGGCATTATTTAACGTACTTACACTATGGGCTCTCATAAGTCCAAGTCATGTATATATGTCTCGCCGGAGACAGCTGCCACAGTTCTCAACGGAGAATAAACCAGTCCAAACAGTTCTCAACGGAGATATAAATTTCAACCTACAAGCTAGCATGCATACCAAAACTAATTAATTATTCTAATGTTTTCTTTTGGCGGGAAAATCTATTCCCAGTCCCAAGTTCGCAATTACAAACTTATCTGATCAAAACACTCCGGGCAGCAAATTATTGCGAACCAAGGTATTAGTCTCTTTCAAACGATTCGTTTGCCGCAACAATTACAACCAATCTTTGCACAGGCCTTTCGATTGTCGTATAAGCTTGTCCTTTGTATACCTTTGTCTCTTTCGTTGGCAAACACTTGTACTGTACTTCGACCCTGCGTACTCTTCCATCGTCTTCAACCAAGGCTTTCGATACGCGACCAACTTTCCATTGTCCACGAATACTGTTCGAGTCTTGAATCATAACAACGTCTCCGACACACACGTTTCGTTTATCAACATGCCATTTCTGTCGTATTAATAGGCTCGGGAAATAATCACGGATCCATCGTTTCCAGAACGCATTCACCAATCTTTGCACAAATTCAAAGCGCAACCTTTCGTTCTTCGTTTCCTTAAATGGTCCACTGGGAATTCTTGCCGACGCTCTACCGAGAAGCAAGTGATTCGGGCTAAGATATGTGTCGTCGCTGGGACTCGTCGGATGAATACCAATTGGCCGTTCGTTAACTAGGTTGGCGGCCTCAAAACAGACTGTCTGTAGCTCGGAAAACATCAATACCTGATCCCCAATCGCCCCTTTGATTGCGCCCTTCACAGACTTCACCAGTGCTTCGGAGCAACCATTTTGCCATGGAGCATCAGCAGCTGCAAACTTCCACTCTAACCCATGCTCAGCGCCAAACTCTCGAAGTCGTTCGTGATCAACACCTTCGATTATGGATTTTAATTCCTTATTAGCAGACGCAAGTTGAGACCCACAATCTGAAAACATGTGCTTCGGGTACCCTCGGATAGAGACAAATCTTCATAGAACCATTAGGAAACCTTCCGTACTGTAATCGGTTGCTATGTCCACATGAACAGCTCTGCTAGCCATGCAGTTGAAGAGCACACCATACGCCTTACCCCGGGAACGCTTGTTTGTCTCACCTCTCGTCTGAAATGGTCCGAAAAAGTCTACTGCAGTTGAATTCCACGGTGGTACCGGGGTCACACGTTCTTTCGGCAATGTTCCCATCACTTGACTTTCCAAAATCTTCTGCTTTTTGCGACAGATGACACATTGCTCTCTGATAGCCCTAGCCATCTTGCGCAGCTTCAGGATCCAGAAGCGGGTTCGAATCTTGCTCATAGTGGTGGATACTCCATTGTGACCTCTACTGTGGACACGTTCCGCGTACAAACGAGACACTCGATGATCGAACGGCATCAGGATCAATTCTTGTTCATTGTAACTAGAAAGAAAGAAAGTCTGGCCCTGTCTGCCAAAGACTGTTCTTGTCAAGCTCGCTTGGATTCTTCCCCCGCGTTATCCAGTCAGCTATGTTGAGTTTCCCTTCAATCCAATGCCAATCACTTGGAGAAGTTCCTTCTTGAATCCTCGCCAATTCGCACGGCTGCATAGGTGTTGAATCCGTACGAATCTTTCTGAATCATTGCTCTAACTATCTCCGAGTCCACGAAAAAATATTCTTTCTCGAAAATGAGGCGATATTCTTTCTTGATAAAAGCACTAAGCCTTTTCGAAAGCAACGCTTCGTTCAACTCCGTTCTAACGATTGTCGTCTTTCGAATTGGTGTGACCCTGCTCTTTGCTGCTAGAAGATTGGCACCAAAAGTCCCATTTTCAAGCTGCCATCTTACATATGCACATGTACCATATGCCTGGTCTGATCCATCACTGAACATCACGAGGGCTGGGTTGCCAACAGCACCGACTGGTTTCACGCACCTTCTAAACGTGACCTTTTCCATGTTGAAAAGTTCAATGAAAAATCGCAACCACTCTTCTCTTAACGAGGCGGGGATTGGATCGTCCCAGGTCAGGTCTTTCGATTCTCCTATCCACAATTTTCTCATAAGTATCTTTGCCCTCAGGGTGAATGGGGCTGCGAGTCCAAGTGGATCGTATATTCCGTTAATCTGCGACAACACCATCCGTTTCGTTAGTATGGGCGGAATAAGCGCTGGAACTTGTTCTTGAGTGAGATTTGGTCCACTTCGTAGTTTCTTAATCTTTGGGGTAAAGTTAAGTTGCGTTTTGAAACAAAATTCGTCCCTATTTGAATCCCAGCGTACACCAAGAACTTTCTGTTCATCCCCTTCAGAGCATGCTGTCCCAGTATTTTGTATCTGCTTCTCGCATACCGACTTGCTTCCCAGTGATCTATTTGCGCTGTCATCGTTCACATTCTCTGATGAATAGATCCAATGCTTGATTTGGAATCCACCAACCTTGACCAAATCGTCAATTTGACCGCTTGTCTCTCGTGCTGTTACCATAGTCTCCACACTATCTGCAATGTCGTCAACATAAGTGTTGTTGAGGATGGTATCTGATGCATTCGGAAGATCATCTTTTTGCATTTCCGCTGTTTTGCGTAGAGCAACTGTGGCGATATTTCCCGCAGGTTTGTCACCGAACGATACGGACGTCATGACATATGTACTTGTCCCACTATCCTGCGACACGTCGCGCCAAAGAAATCTATGAGTGTGCTGATCAAGAACTGATATCTTTATGGCGTGGTACATCTTCCGTATATCGCCGACAAATGCCACTGGGCCTTCTCTAAATCTCACGAGTATGCCGAGCAGGTTGTTCATAAGATCTGGTCCCTTAGCCCAGTAGTTATTTAGTGAATGTCCCTGAAACTTCGCTGACGAATTGAAGACTATTCGACAAGGCGTGGATGTGGATTCTGGTTTAAGCACCTCGTGGTGGCTTAGGTAATATACTGGGCCGTCATAGTTTTCAATTTCTGCTTGTGTGAGTTTCCTTGCAACACCTCGCTGTACCATATCCTGAATCTGCTCCTTGTACGTTTCCAGAAGCGGTTTGTTCTTCTGCAACCTCTTTTCTGTAGACCCAAGCATTATCAAAGCTGCTTCTTTGTTGTTTGGCAGATCATCCGGGCTCCTAATCCAAGGGTATCGCGCAACCCAATGATCGCCTTCATGTGTCAATCCTTCCTCAATCAAATTTAATTCCCGCTCCTTCTTCAATGTGAAGCTTTTCCCACCAATTGGGCACCGTCCACAGTGACAACTTCCACATCTCGGGGAACATTCAACGCCTAGAGATTCAGTATCGAAAAAAATTTCAATGTTTATCCTCGCAACATGGTGAACTGTAGCATGCTGGATAAGCTTAAGTGTGTTCTCTGCCATACTGGTGTGAGACCCACCCAGACAACGACCGAATCGGTTTTTCAACAGAAGTAAATGCCCAGAAGATTGCTCCCGCTCAGGATGATAACCTGCATACTCATAACCAATCAACACATCTATTTCCCCATTTGGTCGCTGAATCTCCTGCTTGTTTATGTTTTGGAACAGATGCATCACGCCGTTGAGGTTAATTCCCTCCATAGGGGAGGATATCCGATCAATTCCATAAACGCGGAAGTTGACAGTCTCCCCTGATTCATCGATTAAGGGAAGTTTGTATACTGATGATCTCATCTCTTCCTTGACACCGCCAACTTTGACAACCGACAGCCTAATTTCCTCTCCATCCAAACTTAGCTCACATGCTTTAACAAAGGTGATCAGACTAATGGTTGCACCACCGTCCCACAGCACATTTAAAGGAGCAGCATTGACAGCTGATTTTATTTACATCACCTGCAGCAAACAAGTTCCCGATTCCTTTCCATCTGCGTCAGAATTTGGCCGGGAAAAATATGGTATATGGAATGCAACCCCTTGAACGTGGGCTACGTGTAAGGAATCATGGTGATATTTTGAACAATCATCACTGTTGCATTTCTTGCGTTGTCTGCAGTCAATAGAGCGGTGACCAATCTTGAGGCATGACCAGCAAGCTCGCTTTTCCTTTAACAACTGGACTTTCCCTTCAGGCGCCATCTCTTGATATACTCTACAATCGGCCGTATAATGCGTGCTCGAGCTGTGAACTAAGCACCTGGTCGTCTTTGTAGCTTCTTTGTTTTCAATAAACTTTCCATCACGGTCAATCATGTGGAC